TGCGGCAGCCGCCGTGGGGGCAGTCTGGCTGCTCCTCGGAACACCGAGCTGAGGATTCCCACGGGGCCCAGGATTCCGTGTCTCCACTGTCTGCGCAAGAGAAAGGGGGTCTGATGTCCCTACAGGAGCTTGGACCTGAGTGTGCAAAGCAGGAGGCATTGTTGTGACCGATGGACACGCCCCGAATGTCGGTCAGCTGATGAACGGACCCACACGCTGTGTCCGCACGGGCAGGTCACCCAGTCAGGAACAGGGGCGAGACGCCCCCACGTGCGGCCCCGGGGACGGACCCGAGCCCACGATGCTCAGGGAGGAACCTAGACACAGATGGCCGGCCACACGGGGTGTGAGTCCATGCGTGTGACATGCCCATACCAAGTCCCTCCATGGACGGGAAGGGGGATCGTGGGGACCGGGGACTGGAGGGAAAGGGGGAAATGACAGCTGACGGGGATGGGGCTGCTTTGTGGGCTGACGAGGAAGTTGGGGAACTGTACAGAGGTGGTGGCCGCATAGCATTGGGCATGCCCTAAATGCCACCGAATCGCACGCTTTCACACGGTCAGTTGTGTGTTAGGTAAATTTCACCTCCATTGCAGAAAAAAGCTGAGACTTTTTCCGGTTTGTTCAGAGAGACAGGACCTGTGGGGACAGCAGGAGGGTCGTGGGGATTTCAGAAGGTGAGTTGTTCTCTTGTGTCCTCAATTCCAGCCAAATCCACTCTTCTGTTTTTGCACTCTGAATGGACCTTTTGCCCATGCATGATTTTGACCTTGAGGACGACCTGATAGGGTCTCAGGGACCACCCCCGCCTCCTGCCCCAGGGAGTCGCCATACACTTAGTGAACCGCTGGTTAAGGATCCTGCCACTGACCAGCTGGGGAGTTTGGCCACACCCTTGACTCTCTGGGCCTTGCTGTCCTCATCTTCATGGCGGGAGGCAGATGGCCCCAACCCTCAGGAGGGAGGCTCTCTTTGGGCTTGAGCCCCCTCCTCCAGGAGGTTTTGTGAAGGGAGTTAGGGAGAGACAGAGAGGGGGAGGATGCCCTGCCCCTACTCATCATTTCTCTTCCCCTCTGCTGCCAGAGCTGCTGCCCCAGGACCTTTGCATGTGCTATATTTGCTTCCTTGAACCCTTCATCTTTTTTTTTTTTTCCCCCTGTGCTAAAAAGTGCTTATTACAGCACAGAGACAGGACCCATGGGCAGAAGGAGCTTCCAGAACCCCTTCGGTCTTATCTAAGTCTCCTCCCTGTGTCCTACTTTGCCTAAACCATTGTGTGTCAGCTTGGACGTCCCCTCCTTCAGGAAGTCTTTCTTCTTCCTTTACCCCCTCCCTCTACACAGGGAGTGCCAGGTGTATCTTGTTCTCCTCTGTGTCCCCCCTCCCCAATAAGGCAGGACTCACCAAAGACAGGGGCCCCCTAAATGGTAGGGAAGGAATTAGAGAAAGAGGAACGATGGGAGGTCATTGAATCATTCCACTCTGTGGAACAAATGGGGAAACCAAGGCCACGGGTGAGCAGAAGCTGTTAGAATGCGAAGACGGGGCCCCTGACCGTGATCTCCAGAGGCCTTCACAGCTGCCGCTCCCCCAGCTCCAGGATCCCGTCCCTTCCTGGCTCATGAGGCGGCCCCTGGAGGCCGAGCCAGGACTCCCAGAGAGGTGCGTGCCCCCATCTCCATCCCCCATTCCCCACAGGCCACCCACAGGGGTGGGTCTCCTGGACTTTATACTCTCTGGTGGGCCCCACACGTGGTCAGTCACAAGTCCTCCCCACTGCCCTGGACGGAGGCCATCTCCTCCGAGCTCCCTTCCGACGGGTCTCACCCTGGAGCTCCGCCCTGAGAGCCCAATTTCAGCACGAATCCTGCCAAGGCCGTTTAGCCAAAACCTCCCGGCCACCCCACCCGTGTCTCCTCTCAGCGACTCTCCATCCATCGAGCCGGTTCCCTTCAGCTGTAAAGCCACGCATGTCCCCTGATGCGACACTAAGGTCTTCCCCGCTGTGGTGGCCTGTGTGTCCCCCATGACTTCCGTGACCTCCCTGCCCTGATTCCGCCGGCAGGACCACAGTGGCCAAGACAGCCGAGGGACACAGAGAGCCTGCCACCGGGTCAGCTGGTCGTAAAGGACTCCCCGCACGGCTCCAGCCGGGACTGACCTGATGCAGAGGTTAGGAGAGGTTGCAGGCGCCGTGACCGCCACTTGGAAGGCAGCCTCCAGAGACAGTGTGAATAGGGGACCCCACCTGTGTCCTCCCACCTCCAGCCCCTTCTGGACCTCTGTTTCCTTGACTGCCAGAGTGGCTGCCCGTGACCCCAAGCTCCCTCGGGTGCCTGGCTGGTGGCCAGGCGGGGACGCTCGTTCCGGGGTGCGGCCTCTGACCAAATTCCAGCAGCAAGAACTTCCTGGGAGCTTCCTTGTGGGGCAGGAAGCCTAGAGCACAGGTGACAGTTTACATGCCCAGACAGGGCGCCTCCTTGAGGCCTGGTGTCCACTCGCCTGACACAGTGCGACCCGCCTGTCCCCAGACAAGCCCACAGGTCAAGTGTTCGATTCCTTTATGTGAAACGTCCAGAACAGGCAAATCCACAGAAAATAGGTTAGTGAGTGCCGGGGCCTCAGGGGGTGACTGCTCCTGGGTTTCCCTTTGGTGGAGATGGAATGTTCTGGAACTAGATAGTGGTGATGGTTGTGCAATGTCGCGAAAGTTCTAAATGCCACCAATGGTAAATTTAGAAGAGAGGGAGAGAGACCAGGTCCTCACTGAGCTCTGGGTCCCAGTAACACCAGTGCCGCTGACCTGGCCCCCACGCCTTTCCCCGGGCTGGGCCCTCTGCTGGGGACGCCCTCCACCTGTCCGCTGGCTGGGCTGGCTGCTGCTTCCCCATCGGGTCTCCGATCAGAGAAGACCCCTCTTTCCGGGGCAGGGCCTGGCCCCTAGTCCTGGTCCCCAGGGAGACCCTGGTTCCCTGGGTCAAGCTTCCTCCACCCCCGCCAGGCTGGGAGCCGCAGGGGGAACCGGGACCCTGTGGGACCCCCAGAGCTGGCAGATTAACGGAGGTTCATCTCGGTCCCAGCTCCCACCACACAGCTCCTAAACCCTTGGGACTTCCTAGGTGAGAAGAGGGAGAACAGTTGTCCTTGGTTCCTGAATAGGGTCCAGAGTGCTGGGGGGGGGGTGGGGGAAGGCAGCGTCTTTTTTGCTGTTTGTGACACGCCCTTTACCCACACCTGCGTTTCTGCAAGTGGGGGGAGCTTGGAAAGCTACGGCCACAGGCCGGGGGTGGGGTTCACCACCAACGGTCAGCGGTTAACCAGTCATGCCTGCGAGAGGACGCCTCGGGTGGGTGACGCTCCCCTTGCACACGCCCGGGCCCCCCTCCCCCCACCCCCATCTCTTGGCTGGCTGTTCCTGGGTCAGATCCTTTGTCATGGTCAGGTAAAAAGCACAGAAACCTTCTAGAGTTCTGCGAGCTGCTGGGGGAAGGTTGAGGGAACTCCTGATTTTTGGCCACTTGGGACAAAAGCGCAGGGGACCTGGGGGCCCGCTCCTGGGGACTGGCACCTGAGGCAGGGGCCGAGCCCTCCCCCTGTGAGGTCCGTGTGACTCCACTGGGAGCCAGAGAGTGGCTCCTGGGGACCCCTCCTCCCGGCCTGATGTGGGAAGTGTTGGTGCGAGTGTGGACAGTCTTCTCGTTCAGTCATAGTGGTAGTCACATAGACAGATCATTGCATTATTATTACTACTACCTGCTGACTACGTTTGATTTCAGGGAGGACTGGGAGGTCACCTGAGGCACATGCTGGTCGCCCACGGTCGCCCGAGGCTGCCCAAGGTCACCTGAGGCCACCCTCCCGAGGTCGCCAGGCGGGAGTTCAGGCCGGTTCATCTGCTCCCGGCCCAAGGCCAGCGCCACAGCTCAGGGAAGTGGACAGATGACACGAACCCCCCCTTCTCAGTTATCCCCTCTTTATTTCCACATAAAAATCCCCGAAGCTCATGGAGATGACGTTTGAACATCACGACAGTAATCATAACAGATCGTTTCTAAAACCACAAAACTGGCCGTCGTTATGGGCGTGTGACCTACGACTTAGGACACATCCCATGTGTCCCGGGAGGAAAACCGGCGTCCCTTTCCGACGAAGTCCGGGGTCCGCTGGCGTTTTGACCACGACCGCCCCGGAGACAACTGCTGCTTGCAAAGCCACTTCTGACACACGGGCAGCAGGCGGCCCGGATGCAGTGGCCCCGTCTGCATGGAGCTGTGTGCTGGGACTTCTCGAGCCTGGGGCCAGTCCCCCCACCCCGGCGTCTCTCTTGATCCTGAGGGGCTGCCGCGGCCGAGCTGGGGTCCTGGGTCCCACTTGCCTGTCGTCTGTGGCTGCTGGTGGTCCGGAGGGGCGGCAGGCCGGCCACACTGGGCCCGTAGTGGTTTTGTGTGCGGCCGCAGGCTTCTCTGGGGTGGGGGTGGGGGGCTGGGGTCTGCCGCTTCCTGTCCTTCTGTCGCCTCCCTGGGTGCTCGGTAACCACGGCACAGGGTGGGACGCCTCAGTTCCTGTCCCTTAGCGTGCAGCCAGGCTCCAGCTCTGGGGTGCACGTGTTGATCTGGGGAGGGACATCCACCAGGCCTGGGTCTGGGCAGGGCCACAGGCAGACGGGCGGTGGGGGGCCTCTTGGAGGGCAGCCTAGAGAGGCCCCCCGCCAGCCTCTGCTGCCTCAGGCTGCAGGTGACACCCCTGGGCCTGGAACATGGTCCTGTCCTCTGGTCTGGAAACATGGCATAAACACACATTTAATCCCCCCCCCCTCAGGCCCCCAGCGTCCCCGCCTTCCGCGGGCAGGGCTGTGACCCAGAAGATGCGGGCCTAACCTCACCCAGAAACTCGGCATTTTCCAACACGGGGGGCAGTTCCCCAGTGTTCCCCGGGGTTCGCGGTGGGTCAGTTTCTAGACACGCAGGGCAGGACCTTCTCCCGCGCAGCAAAACGCTGGGCATTCCTTTCCCTCAGCACCAAACACCACTGGCTCCCTCCTGCCCTTGGAATAACCCCCAAACACCAGCGTCCCAGGTGGAGAAGCATTTGACTTGGCCACTGAGGCCGAGAACCTCACACTCAGCACAATCTTGGCCGCTGAGAAGCTGGCTACAGAGCCAGGAGGGGCCCGGAGAAGGTGCCCCGTCGACTATCGCTGAGATTTATAGAAATAGAGACTCAAAGATCGGAGGGGACTGCACAGGACCACAATTTGCAAGCACTTCCCAGCCTCCTTTTAAATGCCTCCACGGATGGGGAACTCACTACCTCTAGCAGCCGCCTGACCACTGTTTGGGCTGCGTCAGAAAAGTCTGTCTTTTGTCCAAGGTGAATTGTCCTCCTTTGACGCGGGTCCCCACAGCTTCCAGGCCACAGGGACTTCCTTTCCCAAGTGCACTTCCAACTACCCAAACTTGTAATACCCTGTATCTTCCTTCCTGCAGTTCAGAGCCCACTGCCCTTGGCGGGAGCCTGAGGGGTGCATCCCAACCTTGCACTGGGGGGGATCAGGCAAGTGGGGACACCACTCCCTCAGTAGGAGGTATTGACCAGGACTGCCCTGGGGTGTGGCATCCATGTTAGACGGGCTTGAGAATGTTCTAGAAAGGGAGGGACAGTAATTACTGGCAGCTCATTGCTGCTGCAGGTGCCGATGTTCCCAAAGAAGGGGAGTGCTGTACGAGACGGACGGGGGGAGCCGGTCAGATGAAAACCCATGAGGTGGAACGACGGGAGGTCCCCGGGGCATGGCACTGCTGGGGGCGGAGCTTCCAAGCCTGATGCCCAGAGTGGCAGGGGCTGTTCTAGGAGAAAAGGCACAAGAACGAGTCCAGATCCGACCAGGGAGCTGGTGGGCGTCGGTGGCTCCAACGTGGGCCCTCTGACAAGCAAGAGAGGGGTCTCGAGTCGGGACTGTGTGCAGTGGGAGGGGGCTCTGAAGCCGTCCAGGACACCCAGGCCACGCCCTGAGCTGCTTGCCCTTGGCTGTGAGCTCACGGGCGTGGAAGGGCGGAGGGCTGAGAGCCAGGTCCTTTTCTGGAACACACGAATACTGCGTTGTTTAAAAAAAAAAAAATTTCAAGCAGCTAAAAAGGATGCTGGGTTTCAGAGATGGGCGGAGGAGACGGACATCCTCCCAAGACGGGGATGTAGGACGAGGCGGGGATGAGGTCCAGGGCCGGAGGGCGTCTGACAGAGGTTTCTTGGCATCTGGAATCTTCTTTCTTGTCCTTTTCTGTGTTCTTGTCACCTCAGGACAGGCTAGAGAGGGATAAACACAGGTCAGGTCATTATTATCGCTTTTCAAGCAGCGGCCGTGTGGGGAATCCGGCTTTGGTGTCCTCGGCACAAAGAGCACTACTGCTGCCTGCCCCCGACTCTCTCCGCACCGTAGCAGAACGGGCCTGGGGCCGGCGCCTCCAGGCAGACCAGAGGGAAGTTTCAAAGCAGCCCTTTGTCCTTCATCCCTCCATCCGCCATCTGCGCACCTACCATCTGTCCGTCTGTCCATCCATCCGTTGTTTCCTACAGTTTCTTCTTTTGTGTCTTTATTTTATGTTTGAAGATATTATTTATTCATTTGTAGAGAGAGAAAGGGGAAGGGGAGCGGCAGAGGGGGAAGGAGAGGGACACGCAGACCCTGTGCCGAGCAAGGAGCCCGATGTGGGGCTCGATCTCCTGACCCCGAGATCATGACCTGAGCCGAGATCAAGAGTCGGACGCTTCCCCGACCTGGCCACCCTGGTGCTCCTGTCTTTAATACGTTTACACATCCTTAGTTCACCAACCCTTCCTGAGGCTTCCCAGGAGGGCCTGACTCTGCCGTTTGCTGTATCCGCTGGCTTTCTCTCATGGTGCGTGACTTCCTTGCCTGTTCTGTGTGTGTGGACGGACCCCCCCCTCCCTCAGAGGACAGGGCTTGAGACGGTCTCAGGGATGCACTGAGAACACATTTCCACTCAGCGTGCCCCAGGCGGTGCTGGTCGAAGACCATGTTCGATGTTTCTCTCTCCGCTTGGGGCTTCCCGGGTCCAGTGGGGGCTATTAAGGCATAGATTTGGGGGAGAGGGTGTGGTCAAGGATTAGCCCTTAACACTGCACATTCCAAAGGAAGGGGTAGCCAGCCGAGTCCCAGATCCTGGGAGGTAACCTAGTCCTTGGAGTGCCCAGCCGGGCAAGAGGGTCTCTGTTTACCTGGGACCTTGGGTCGTGGGAGAGAGCCTGTGCTGACAGTGCGATTTGGGGGGTGGGGATCAGCCCGACCCTGGGGGGGTGATTAGCCACGCCGGAGGGACTGCCCCCACAAATGCCCTGGACACCAGGACGTGGGGGAGTCTCTGATTGGAAACATGTCCTGCGTATGGCCACAGGGTGCTGGGAGAGCCGGGGTCTGTCTGGTAAGTCCCCGGCAGGCAACAGCCAGAGGTTCACCCCTGGTGTCTCCGGGCCCTGGCGTCACGCACCTTCGCTCACTGCTGATGCTCCCTCCACTGCATTAAACCACAATTGCGGGGCTCCTGGGGGTCTCAGTCGGTGAAGCGTCTGCCCTCGGCTCAGGTCAGATCCCAGAGTCCTGGGATTGAGCCCCCGCATCGGGCTCCCTGCTCTGCGGGGAGCCTGCTTCCCCCTCTGCCTCTGCCTGTCGCTCCCCCTGCTTGTGGGCACATGCTCTCTCTCTCTCTCTCAAATAAATGAGTAAAATCTTTAAAATAAAATTTCTAAAACCCCCAACCAACCACAATTGTAAGCACTACAGCTTCACCGAGTTCTGTGGGTCCATCCAGCAAAGCTGAACCTGGGGGTGGTCTCCATGACCCCCCACCCACAGAGAGGCTTCTCCTGGCATCTGGAGCTGGTGGGGACCCTGGGACAGGCCGTGGGCCAACGGTGTCCCCGTGGCTGAGTAGGAAAGCCTAGGCTTGGGGCACCCGGCTGGCTCAGTCCGTAGAGCACAGGACTCCCAGTCTCAGGGCCGGGGGTTCAAGCTCCACGGTGGGCTCATTGGAGCCTACTTAAAATTAAAATTAAAATTAAAATTAAAATTAAAATTAAGTAGCCCAGGTTTTCCAGGACCTGGCTGCAGGCAGGGGTCTCAGTCAAGGCTGCCATGTGGCTTAGCTCTGGGGCCTCATGGCGATGGCGCCCCCTGGAGGTGTGCAGGGACAGGCTGCCTGCTGCAGCGGAGACCCTGGAGTCCTGGGAGCCGACGCCTCTCTGGCTCCCCGGTACAGCGGCCCTCGGCCCCGGTGAATCGTGGGGCCATTCTCCCGCAGTGGGGACATCACCGGGACATCTGGACAAGCAGACACCAAGAAAGCTCTGCTTCCCACTCACCTTGTCTCCTGGTCTTCTGTGCCCGGAGCAGACCTGTGGAAGAGAGACATCTTAGCACGATTTGCCCATCTGGGGAGCCTCGGCATCCGGCCGTGAGCCCCACGAGAGCAGGACACGGAGGGCCAGATGCCGGCTGGGGCAGAGCTGGGTGGTGGGGAGAGGGAGGGCACCGAGCTAGGCTGGGCTTTCCACCGCGCCAGGGCGAGGTGCCAGAGGACTTGCAGGGGCATTTGCTGGGTGTGAAAAAAGAAAAGGGGGGCATGGGAGCAACAGCTTAATGGGTGTGGGGTTCCCTCTGCAGTGACGGGACATTCTGGACCTAGAGACGGGTGCGGGTGCACAGCTTTGCCCGTGCCCCAAAGGTCCCCGGAATGTGCACTTAAAAAATGGAAGAAGCCCTGGGAGAAGGCTTTTACATCTTACCAGCTGTTAGTTAGTTAGTTACTTAGTTTACTTATTTATTTATTTTTAAAAGATTTTATTTATTTATTTGACAGAGACAGCGATCACAAGCAGGCAGAGAGGCAGGCAGAGAGAGGGGGAAGCAGGCTCCCCGCTGAGCAGAGAGCCCGATGCGGGGCTCGATCCCAGGACCCTGAGACCATGACCTGAGCCGAAGGCAGAGGCTTAACCCACTGAGCCACCCAGGTGCCCCAGTTTATTTATATTTAAAGATTTTATTTATTTATTTTTTAAGTTTTCTCTACTCCTAACATGAGGCTCGAACTCACAGCCCGAGATCAAGAGTCCCGGTGTGGGACGGAGCCGGCCGAGTGCCGCGACAGTTCATTTCAGTGGAACTGCTGGCCTCTGTGGGTGTCCCTGTGGGGCTGGCCCAAGGTGGACGGGAGAGGGACCCCCGACTCCGAGCACCCACTCATGCTGGCCATCGCCACGGTGCTCCCAGTCCCCGTCATGCTGTAGTCACTCTTACCGGCCGTTCGGGGTCTCGCAGCCTCGCCCGTGGTCACCCGCACACTCACCTGTCCTCTGCCGAAGCTGCCTCTGGCTTCTCCTCGGACCTGGGCAGGACGAACTCTGGTGGCGGCCTGGCGCTGGGGACAGAGGGAGACAGCAAAGGTGACAAGCCTGCATGGCCCACTGAGGCCCCTGAGGGCAGGTGTGGGAGGCCCCGAGGGTGCAGAGATCCCCCAGGGTTACTGACGGCAGAGGCAGCCATGGGGAAGGGGGTGTAAGTGGGGGCATCACAGGGAGGAGAGACCCTGAACGTTGATCCCAGCTCGTCCTCCCAGACACCTCGTGCCCTCACCCCGTGGCCCTTGTCCCGCGGACGCTGTCACCCTGTGCCCTGACTCTGGCTTGCGGGGCTGGCCTCTGTTCCCTCCTTGGCTAAGGCATGGGAGGCCAGGGGGCCCCCCTCGGGGAGACGGACAGAGAGAGACGGAGATGGGGAGTTTCATGTGGTGTGTATTTTACTACAGTGAAACACTGATCGAGAGAGAGGATGGAAGGCTGGGGGGGCTAGGGAAGAGGAGAAGGCTCAGGCTGGTGTGTCCCCCCTGCTCTCGGCCTTCCTCCATGTGGCCCACGGCTTGTCATTACCAAACGACACCGTGGGAGGCCACCACGCCTCTTCTCCTGACGAGGCTCGTTCGCCCGCCTCACTCACCCCACCACAGGGCCTGCTCTCCTTACTCGCTGAGGTGTCCCTCTCCTTTGCCTTTCAAGGACCCTCTGGACCAGGACTCTGTCTAAGCCACCTGCTTCCCCGAGGCAGGCAAGGGCCTAGCCAGGACAGAGAGCCCCAACCCTCTCCCAGACTTGCTGTGTGGCCTTGGGCAGGTGCCTTGCCCTCTCTGAACCTTGGATCCTGGGGCTGTAAGACGCTGTCCAGAATCCTGGCCCGGCCCTCTCTGGGGGGTGGGGGTGCAATAACCCGGAGGTCCTGAGACCACCGTTCACGGTTATGCTACGGAGGAAAACTGACCCACAAAACCAGTGGGGGAGGCTGGATCGGAACCCCGGTCTGATTCAAAGCCCCCAACAAGGACGTGCGCATGCGCACACGCACGTGTGTGTGTGTGTGTGTGTGTGTGTGAGAGAGAGAGTGTGTGAGTGATTGGTCCCCATTGAGCCGAGGCCACCAGCTGCCCCCTCACTGTGGGCCCAGCCCCAGCCCTGACCCCACCCTGGCGCGACCCCCCCACCCCCCTGCACAGACCTCTCTCTCCTGGCCTTGAGCCTCTCCTCCTCGTACCTGGAAGAGAGAACGTAAAAATGCATCAGACGCAGCCCTCCTCCCCGCCTCGGCGCACTGCCCGGCGACTCCCTTTCCTCTCGGGAACGGAGAAACAATCTCAGGTCTGAATTACACGCCGGGCGTCGGAGCCGAGAGACAGCCACAGAGGACAGTCTGATGGTCTTTGTCCCGTCTCCTGCAGCAGCTGGGCAAGCCCCCAGCCCCCCACCCCCGCCGAGCAGGGAATACCTGTCTTGCTGGCATATTCCAGCATCTGGTAGAAATAATTCAGCAGATTTTTATTTTTTATTTTTTTGGCCTGATTCAGCCCCAGCAACTACATGGCCCGTTAGAGAGCAGCAGCCTCGCTGACATGTCCCCTCGGCAGGGCCGTCCTCTTATAAAAGGCTGGAGAGTAGATATTCTCCAGTTTGTAGGCCAGTTTCAGCCACAGCTACTCATTCAGACGTAGCTCGGAAGCAGCCACAGCAGATCCGTCCGTGGATGGGCATGGCTGTGCCGATAAAACTTTATTGGTAAAACAAGCTGTGGGCCGTGGCTCGAGGGACCACGTGGCCTCTCATCTCACGTGCACGTGTTTCACTGCGTTTCCCTCTGCTCTGCGGCTCCCACTCATGTCTGGTTCCCGGGTGTGCGAGAGGGGAGGTGCGGGACCCTGGGGAGAGGGGCATGGGGTATGGGGGTGGGGACACTCACACGGCAGATGGGACACTCACTGTAGCACGCACTCCGGGATTTGCACGTGTTCCATGGGGATGAGCTGTTCTAGATCTTCTAGGCTGTGCACGTACTGGATCTTGTTGATGAATTTGACACTGGCAGGAGGAGGAGGAGGGAGAGGTCTGCAGCCCAGGCCCGGAAGGAGCGCCGGCCAGCAGGGGTGCCCTGAGCACCTTCCATCAAACCTCTGTCCCTGCCCAGGCTAGCCTCTACCCCTGGCCCTTGTGGGGTGGACAGAGCAGCACCCAGGGTCAAGGGCAGAGTCCCTGCTGAGCTTTGTCACCAGCTGCTGCTTTGAACTCCTGGTTACTATTATTTTTTAAAGATTTAATTACACCCAAGTTTGCTACAATGCAGTATATGCTTTTTTTTTCAAGGTCAAACAATTTTTCTGAGAAGACCTGCAGAATACAGCCCTACAGAAAATAAAAGTCATCGAGCAACAGTATAAAAATAAATGTAAGACAGAGCCCAGCATCTACCGAAGAGTGCTACGGCGCTTCCTATCTATTTGTAGGGATGAGATAAAAATGCGGCTCGGCTTTCCCGCGGCCGATGTGAAGGGAGACACGTGATGAATTACACGGTTCACGGTGTCCATCAGGGGAAAAGCAAGCCGTCGCTCGGCAGAAGGCCGCTGGTGACCGGTGAGGCGCGACAGACGTTCCCCACGGAGAGTCACCACGCGGCCGTGTGCGGCGGGGTGAGCAGCGGCAACTGCTTTTGTGCGGTTCAAAACATTTTTTAATAAAAAGAGAAACCAACCCGGTTATTTTTGGAGCCCGGGGTCTCCCTCCTGTTGTCACAAGAAGGGCCCGCGGGCAGGGACTGAGCCTCAGACAGGCAAGAATCGTGTCCATACTGCCCGGCCCAGCCGGCTCGGAGGGTGGACCAAGCTGATTTGTTAGTAAGGGTTTTAGGGTGTGCAGAGACCGCACCTGCTGCTCCAAGCGCCGGGCTAGGAATACGGGTGGAAAGTCCGGCTGCCGCCACCTGGTGACGCCCACCACCATGTCTGTCCTCGGATACCGATGTCCGAATCCCCGTGGTGACAAGGCTCTGTCTGCCTGTGGGGTCAGCCTCCTGTCTCACGGGCGGGGGTGGGGAGGACCCTGGGAGGCAGAACTCCTCACCAGGGCGAGGGGCACCCCCAGCGCTCTGATCACACACCCGCAGGGCCGCCCGGGGCTCAGAATGGTCTCTGCTTTCCTCGGCTTGTAAATGGGGAAGCTCACTTTTCTCTCCCGCTTCCTTCTTTTGCTGTGAAACCTCAAAATGCGACCCCCCATATCCGCGGTGGGAAAGCAATCACGAGTGAGAGAGCTACCTGCCTTCAAACCAAGTGTTGGTTCCCAGTTAGGGGATAGACAGCAGCGTGGTCTTCTGTTAGACTCTGAGCCTGCCCCCCGCTTCCCCAGGGGGGTTCATCACTACACACACGGCCCGTGATGAGCGTATGACTCACCTGATTTTTCTAGTACACGAATATTTGAAGGTGCTGGCGGGTCTTTAAACACAGACCGGCTGAGGTCACCTCCTGGCAAAGTGTTCATGCTGAGAGCGCGACGGTTTCTGAGGGCGGCCCCTCCCTCAAGCTCATCACACATCACTGCCCGGGAATGTGGACGGGAAGGGTCTCTTTTTTTTTTTTAGGTTTATTTACGTAAGCAATCTCTAGGCCCCAGATGGGGCTCGAACTCACAATCCTGAGATGGAGAGCTGGACCTGGGCTCTACTGCTCACGGCAGCCGGGCGCTCCTTGAAGGATCTCGATTCGATTCAATGCTTTGAATCACGGTAAGTTAAATATCGGGTTTATGTGACTGACTGGGGCGTTTCACACGACTGATTTTGTTTTACTTGATCTGCACAACAGGGGCTTTTACATGGTGCAATAAAGGGTTAACCGGCAGGTTGGGGCGCTCAAGCCCCGCCCCTTGCAAAGAAGGAACCGAGACTCCATGGTGGGGTGGGGGGCTAAACCCTGATGAAACCCTAGGAGAGCAAGATCCTTCCTCTGTTATCGTCACACATCATCACAAGGACGATTGAGGACTTTGGCTACCCGCCTGCGGGAGCGGACACATTTGTCCTTGGCCACCTTCCATCTGTGTCCCGTCTCCGTGGCAAACGGTAACAGCTCTGCGTTCTGCAAGTCCTTGCAGGGAATCATCACAGCTGAGGTGCTCTCGAGGGCCCCCCAGCACCCCCTGCTAGTGATATTATTGTTGGGAGGGGCTCGGACCCTCCTGGTATCCTCAGGGTCCCCTCGCAGACGCAGGAGCGGACGGAGAGGGACTCACTTCTGGGCGGCTGGGGTGGGCTAGCGACCTGGCTGCACCATCCTGGCTGGGTCCCGTGACCCTTCTGAGCCCCAGTTCCCTCGCCCGTGCCATGGGATAGCGACAGCATCAGCCAGCCCCTCAGGTGGTGGGTGTAAACGTGGAAAGGTTTCCAGCACTTACCACGCGAGGGCTGCCTGCTAGTGTTTTTCCTGTGTTCCTCCCTTAATAACAACACATGGGACTGGAAACGGTTTACAGCAACAGTACAGGGGCGCCTGGGTGGCTCAGGCGGTTAAAGCGTCAGGTCCTATTTTCAGGGTCCGGATGGGGCTCCCGGCACAGCGGGGAGCCCGCTTCTCCTTCCCTCTGCCTGATGCTCCCCCTGCTTGTGCGCACGCGCAAGCGCTCTCTCTTTCTGATAAAATCTTGAAACAAAAAAGCAGTAATACACAGTCGGCGCAGAGCAGTGCCCAATACAGATGACAACAGCGGACGCGCACAACCCGGAGGGGCGGGCGCGGAGGCAGTGGTTACCTGATGAAGGGGCGGGAGATGGCCAGCACCGTGCGGATGAACCAGGACGGGTGCACGATGATGAGCGACTTCAGGTTTTTCCGCAATCTGGGGGGGCAGAGGAAAGGCCCCGGAGAGGGCGGAGCTAACAGGTGCCGCCTCCCCGGTGCTCCCCGCTGACTGCTGGCTCGGTTTTCAGGGTGGGGGGTCGCTGGCTGTGAGGCTGGGCCCTGCGCCCAGCCTGTGAAGGGCCGCCCTCACGTCTAGTCCCCGAGCCACCTCCCGTTCCCGAACCATCTCCCGGGGCGCCCGGGTTCGGACCGCCCGCTGTGGTCCTCGGAGGGGGGGGCGGGGTGAGGACCGCGCCGCCTCCCAGGGGACCCCGGGGCGCCCCGCAGCCTGGCGCGCACGTACCTCCTGTCGATCATCTGGTAACACTTCTTCAGCCAGCCGATGCCCGGCATCCTGCGGCGGGGCGTGGCGCCGTTCAGGTAGACGATCATGTAATCCTCCGCCACCAGCAGCTCCAGGCTGCTGATGACGTACCTGCTCACGGGGGCGGGGGGGGCACGGAGACGGGGGCGGGGGGGACAGAGTTAGGGAGCCTCGGCCCCCTGTGATGCAACCCTGGGACACATGCTTTTGTGTGCGTGGCCATCCTAGCCCCTGCCCTCAATATCAGTGTCAGTGCGCAGAACCATAGCGCATAGAACCACTCTCTGCCCTATGGAGCACTTATTAGGCACCACGTGTTTTACAGGCATGAGCTCATTAGTATCTCCGGGAATCTGGACACGGGGCTGGTATCACAGCCCCGGGTACAGCCCAGGGAACGTACACCCCCCCACTGGACAGTCCAGTGGACAGACGTGAGGGGTCTCGGGCCTGTTCCTGCCTCCACCCTCCCTGAGTGATTTTAGAAAAATCCTTTCCTCTGGCTCAGCGTCTACTTCCCCACCTGTAAGCTGGGTGGGGTGGGGTGGGGGCTCCCTGGTTTCTGGGGCTTCTTCCTGCTCTGACCGGTCATCCTCTGAACCAGCCGGCACCCCAGTCCCACCTGGTAAGAAGGGAATCTTCCCAAGAACGCACATAGAAGTGATCGTGATCACGGAGCCCCTTCTGGGACCCGCCAGGGCTGGCGTCGGTGTCTGTCATCCCGCAATTTCACCCGGGGGTCCCTGGCCCGGTGACGTAACCTCCCTGGGTCTCAGGTGCTGCCCCTGTAGCCTGAGCAGCCACAGCCCCTCCCCCCAGGGCCAGCTGAGTGTGGACTCTGTCTTTCCGTAGGAAGCGCTGGGCCCCGAGGCTGGGGGTGATGATGGCCCATTCCAGCCGCTGACGGAACCGTGGGCGTGAGACGGAGTGGGGTCGGGGGCCACTTACAGGAAGAGGTTCTCCATGATGTAGTGGTAGTCGGGGGAGCTGCTGTCCGGGAGGAAACAGGCGGCAAACACGATGATGGCGTTGAGACCTTCGCCGTAGTACCCTGGGGAGAGGCGGCCAGGGAGTGGCTGGCGCTCTGAGCTGGCCCCTGCTCTAGCCCAGGCCCCCACCTCCTCGACAGCCAGACCCCCTCCCAGAGGGTACAGCTCCGAGTCCCAGCACCTTGGCTGGGGGAGCTAGCAAACCCCTGAGTGCGCCCAGCCTGTCCCTGCCTGCCCCACGTCCCTGCCCCAGAGACTTAACATCCCTACGGCTCAGATGAAGAGACTGAGGTCCACAGAGGGTCTCTGAGGATCTGCAGTTGGCTGACAGGAGCCAGGAGGAGCCCGAGGGCTGCGCTCTCACCTCCGTGGGTCACTACCCTCATGTAGGGCCGGATCATGTGCAGGTCGATTCGGTGCTCCTGTTCTCCGATGATCACTGTCCTCCACAGGCGCCCATTGGCGGCACTGCCGTCCTCCGCTGCACCGTCCCCAAACAGGTCTGCGCTGTCCCCAGGCATGTTCTTGGCGGCAGCCACGGGGGTGTCATCTGGAAGGAGGCCGGGGTGAGCATAAGGGATGCCTGAGTCCAGACCTTTTGTCCTCTCGCCTGGTCCCCTCTCCCCTGCTGCCGGTGGACGCGTGACCCTCATCTTTCTCCCGTAACACTAGTCCATGTGCTTTTCCCTGCCCGGAGGCCCTGCCTGTCCGTTTGCCCCTCCTACTCTCCCTCCATGGCTCAGCCCAAATGCTGCCTCCTCCAGGAAGCCCTCTGGGGCTCCCCCTTTGCTGGCCTCGCAGAACACTCTGTTGGTTTTGAACTCAGAGCCTCTGAACACCTATACTACGCAGGGAGGTCGGAGCAGTGATGGAAACCCCCAGCGCCAGGAAGCCCAGGGCTGGGCGCGGCTGAATTCCAGAAAACATCTAAAGAGGTAACACCAGGGGCGCCTGGGGGGCTCAGTCAGTGAAGCGTCTGCCTTCAGCTCAGGTCATGATCCCAAGGTCCTGGGATGGAGCCCTGTATCGGGCTCCCTGCTTAGCGGGGAGCCTGCTTCTCCCTCTGCCTCCGCCCTTCCTTCCTGCTCCTGCTTTCTCTCTCCCCACTGCCCCACCCCCCATCAAATAAATAAATAAAATCTTTTAAAAATAAACAAACAAACTGGTAACACTAATTCTTCTCCCTCTTGGCACTGCAGAAAATTCGGGGCATCCTGGGTGCTGAGTGGGTCTCCTGGGCCCCCCACTCAATGCCAGGGGCACTCCCAGTGTGACAGCCCCAGACATTCCCAGACATGGCCCCATGACCCCTGGGGCAGGACTGCCCCTCAGGCGAGACCCCTGCACCCCTCGTCCTGTCCCAACCCCTCACCCTACTTCCCTCTTAGCACCAGCAACCAACAGCAACGAGCTTGTGCACATGTTGTCTAGCATCCGTCTTCCTGCCAGCCGGACGCCACCTCTCCTGCCATATCCCCGCCACCCTCCCAGCCCCCCGGTCAGGACCTGCTCCTGCACAAATTGTCCCCCCACACACCTGTGCCATCAGTGGGAAACCTTTCACTTCAGACTCGGTCACATTTGAGAACCACGGAAAAGCCACAAAAACCCCACAAGTCCACCGGAGAAATGCGTGGGGCATCGCAGCAGGGGACGCACGCTCTGGGCACTGCTCTGGGAGCCCCGGTTGGTGGCCCCGGCCCACCTGAGCCCGAGGGCATGGATCGAGCGGCCTGGGCCTCACCTTCCCACTCTAGCTCGTTGCCGTTCCCCAGAAACTCCAGCGAGTCAGTCTCGTCGGGGGTCTCGATGTCGTCCACGTTGATGTCCAGGTCGTCAGGGGTGTCCAGGAAGTCGTCGGACAGCAGGGAGCCCTCGCTCTGGTCCAGGGAGATGTTGATCTCCGGGGCGACCAGCGTCTTCCGCTTCCGATGAGCTCCGTTGAAGTTCAAGGTGTTGGGAGGGGCTGTTCAGAAAACAGGAAAATGAGATGAAGTCATTGTCACTTCTTCTTTCCTTGTCCCCCTCCCCCTCTCCTGACCTGGAGAGAGCTCCGCCCCATCGTGTGGAATGGTCAGAAGTCAGAGGCCATCCTTTGGGGCAGGCAGGGTTCAAGGCTGCAACATTCTACCCTGCACACACATCGCCTCTCTGTCTGCCGGATGGGCCTCAACGCGGGGGGAGTTGGGTCAGGGTCACATGGGCGGCCGCGGACCAGCCCCCGGGCAGCCTTCCCCGCTCTGGACCCGCCAGTATCTGCAAGCGCTGTTGCCTCTGGATACGGCAGCAGAGAACGTCCCCTGTGCTACTTGTTACCTCCCCGTGATGTTCACCTCTTTAATGACCGACACGGACCACGCCACGTGAGCCAGGCCCTCTGCGAAGTGCTCTCAGGTTGCAACTGGGCAAGACCCGTGTGAGGCAAGTTCTGTTATTACGCCCTTTATCAGGTGAGCAAACTGAGGCCCGGAGGGGGTGGGTCCTTCCAGATCTCTCCGGAGCTGGTCAGGATGGGCGTGCCTCATGGTTTGAGCTGCTTTCTCCTGGACAGTCCTAGCTGGGACTCTGGTCTCCTTGTAAAAACGACGTCCCTCTCCACCCTGGCTGCCCCGCAGGGGTTAGAGCGGATCCCACAGCGAGCTGTGAAGAGCTGGCCTCACGGGGGTGATGGAGGTTACCTTCTGTTCGAGGAAAGGGCCCCCCACCTGCAGTCCCCAAGCCAGCTAGAGGGAAAGAGTCTACCCTCCCTTGGGAAGTCACCCCCAGCTTCATTGGTGGACAGTGAGCACAAAGTAAAGGAGCCCGTGGGAGAGCCCACATTCAGGGATCCGTAAGTAAATGGACGAGCTCCTCACTTTTCTTTTTCCTTTCAATTTCTCCAGCCCTAAGCTGGAAACAGGGCTCCTGCTCCCTGAGCGGGTAGAGCTGCAGGTCACAGCACGGTGGCAGGGAGCCTGGGGGTGTCCACACAACACTCTCCCCCAGCAGGGAAGCTAGGCAGTGGCGATGCCTCCGGCGGGCCTGCAGGAAAGAGCACTGAGCCAAAGAGCGTTGTTCTCCAGCCTTAAAATCCAATAGAATTTGCACTTAAAAAAGAAAAAAAGCCTAACAAAATATGTCCTGCCAAGCTTCGGACTCGCTGGGACGGATGATCTTTTTCTTCCCTCCCATTTCTCCTTTTTGGAATGAGGCTGTTTATCCCCGACCTGTCCCATCATCGTATTTTGGAAGTAGAGAACCTGTTGGGTGTCACACGTTCACAGCTGAAGAGGGATTTTGTCCCGGGATGAACCACACCTGAGTCTTCCACCTCTTAACGTCCCTCAACTGATTAGATGCAGCCCACCCACATTATGGTGCAATCTGCTTTACTCAACATTCACTCATCGATATGTTAATCTCATGAAAAAAGTGATTCTCAGGGACGCCTGGGTGGCTCAGTTGGTTAAGCAGCTGCCTTCAGGTCAGGTCATGATCCCAGCGTCCTGGGATCGAGTCCCACATCGGGCTCCTTGCTCAGCAGGGAGCCTGCTTCTCCCTCTGCCTCTGTCTGCCTGTGCTCGTGCTCTCTCTCTCTCTCTCTGACAAATAAATAAATAAAATCTTAAAAAAAAAAAGTGACTCTCAGGGGGAACATCTAGAATAATGCTTGACCACATCTCTGGGTACTGTGGCCCGGCCATGTGGACACATAAAATTAACCAGCATGTCCTCTCCATCTCCTGTACTAAATAAATCTCATCGGCAAAGTCCCTTTGGCCATGTGAGGACACATTCGCAGATTCCAGGATTAGGATCTGGATATCTTTGGGGGCTCTTATTCAGCCAGCCACACCTAGGAAGGGGGGTACGTTATGACGCAGCCCTCACTGTACAGAAGTAGGAGACAGGGTCGAAAGGGGATGAACCCAAGATCTGGGGATGTGACAACAGCAGGCAGAGCCTGGTGCTCAGGTCAGAAGGAGGACTGGTCCTCTGGGGTGCCCCAGAAAACTGGGACAAGCTGGTCCCTGTCTCTGGCTCATAGGCAGACCTGGCTCTTAGTGCTGTGTGATGTTGGGGATGTGGCTGTCCCTCTCTGGTCAGTCTTTCCTCTGAAAAGTTGGGTGCCATGGTGAGCCACACAGGGGAGATGCAGGCAGAAGGGAGGCCCCCAGCAAGACTCTGAACAGATGCCACGGAGGAGAACACATGTTCAGGGAAGCTCCTCTCGCTACCCTGGACCCCCTATCTCCGAATTCTGGGGTCTGGAACCTCAGAGCCCTGAGCCTTCCTGAGTGCTTAGGGCAGCAGAGCCTTCCCAAGACTGACTGTGCTGGGTAACCCCTGGGCACTTTATATATGTCATCTCATTAAATCCTTACATGCCCCTTTCTGCAGGAAGCTCACTACCTGAATTTAACAGATAAGCACTCGGAGGCACAGAGAGGCTGAGCAACCAGCTCAAGGACACACAGCAACACCGCGTGCCAGTTTCGTGACCGGGCCCACACGTCTCTCACCCACACTGGCTATTTTCCCTCCAGGCCTCTGAGCAGAACAACCCCCTTCCCTGACATTCCGCCCGGGAGGCATGGCCTCTGACCCGGGTATAGTCTCAGCCTCAGGCAGAACGAGATCTGGAAATAGCGCGGCCGCTGCCACACGCTTAAGGGGACACTTACAGGACGTGTCTTCCGTGGGGCTGCCAAGAGGGTCCATCCCTGTCTCTTCTGGGAGTGGCCTGCAGACATCCGCCACCGGAGCACAGGGAGCAAACAGCAAAAGACTCGGTTAGTTCTGGGGAGTCACTGGGACGGAATGCACCTGCTCGTCGGCTGGGAGATCATAACACATGAGAGCCGGAGGGCTCCCTTCAGGTCGTCTCGTGGACATCAGGTTGCTCTGTCCTCCTCTTGGAGGCAGAAAGCCAAAACCTAGAGAGAAAGAAGGTCTCATGCAGGGTCACAATTTCTCTTTGGAACAGACGTAGTGCTTTCTGGGGGGCCCTGCAGAGTTGGGTCTCTGACGAATTTTGGCTACTAAATGCGGCAAAAAGCTGTCGAGGAAACACGGCCATCAGCCAAAAGAGCTCGCCGCGGTCAGCGCCTGAACGGTTCGAGCGACAGAATACATCACAGGGCATCGGACTATAAGCCAGAGGTATAAAATAGAGCGTCCATGAGTCCATGAAGATGTAAATAAATGACTGAATAAATAAATAGGGAGACGAGACAAAATTTCAGTGCAGATGTCCAACGAATGTCAAGGGAGTCCTTCCTGTAAGCATGGGCTGGGGAGGGGGGATGGCATGCAAATGGGTGAGTGACCAAGCAGGGGAGACACCTGACTGCTCACCACAGCCAGGGGACTGAGGCAACGTCTGGGTGACAAGCCGTCCCCCAAGATGGCGTCAGGAGAAGGACACTTGACTCGGGGATCTTCCTCCCCAAGCCCATTCCCCCAGGTCTCACCGTGAGAAAAGCCCCAGACGAATCCAGGGAAGGGGCTTCCTACCAAACCCCTGCCCCGTCCCCCAAGCCACCGTCAAGGGGCACCAAAAACCAGGGAAGTCTGAGAAACAGTCCCAGCCCGGAGGAGCCCAAGGAGACGTGACGACTCTGTCACGTGGGAGCCTGAGACAGGGTCCTGGGACGGAAAAGGGACACTGGGGGAAACTGAGGAAATCGGAATAGATTGTGGAGTTTGCTTACTGAGAACGTGTCAACGTGGGTTATTACTTGTGACAGAAGCACCCTTCTAAGGCAAGATGTGAATCACAGGGCAAGCCACATACAGAATATATGGAAACTTTCTGTAATATTTTTGCAACTCTTCTGTAATTCTAAAACTTCTTCCCTTTACTTATTTATTTAGAGAGACGTATGGAGGTTGGGGAGGGGAAGAGGGAGGGAGCAGAGCGCCCGCTACGTGCGGAGCCGGACGCGGGGCTCGACCTTCTGAACCCGGAGACGATGATTTAAACCAAGATCGAGTCAGACTGAGCCACCCAGGCGTCCCTGTAAATCTAAGACCCCTAAAAGGGCAAGTTTTTTTCTTTTTTAAATAACGCCGCCAACTATGCGTTTGTAGCCCTTTAATCCTCGGCTCAGCGTGGATTTGCAAAATAAGACCTTTTTTAAAGATTTTATTTATTTATTTATTTGAGAGAGAGACAGAGAGAGCGAGCAGGGGTTGAACGAGGGAGAAGAACAAGCAGACCCTGCACTGAGCAGGGAGCCCGACGGGGGGCTCAGTCTCGCTTCCCTGAGACCACGATCTGAGCCGAAAGCAGGAGTCGGCCGCTCACCCGACTGGGCCACGCAGGTCCCCCAAAATAAGACCTTTTTTTTTTTTTCCTTGGCGATACCTGGGCTCCTTTGGGGAGCGACCGCTCATGCTGCCGGAGTTTGACCCACGCGCAGGTCCTTTGCTCTTGGGAGATACTGGGTTGGAGGCAGGACTTTTGCAAAGCCCAGCGGCTCCCAGAGGCCCCAGCCGCAGGCCGTGCTGGCCCAGGGAAGCACTGCCTCACCTGGGACACTCAGCAGGAGAGGAGGGGATGGACTGTGCGTTCCTTCCATTTTGAGGACCTGTTCCTCTGGGCACGGGGCTGGTTTGCTTCTCCCTCTTCTGCTCGCCTTCCTCCCACTCCTCAGACATCTAGGGTTCCTTGAGCAAACACTCCCCGCCCAGGTGCAGTGGAGGGTCTGGGGGGTAAGGGAAGGACGGGACCTCGCTCTGCCCCCATGCAGGTCAAAGGGCCGCACTGGAAATTCCCACAGGAAGGGACGACACGCGTCCACACGAAGGCTCACACCCCAGTGTTCACAGCGACAGGAGTCACAGCAGTCAAAACGTGGAAGCACCCCAAATGTCCACTGACAGATGCACAGATACACACGGTGTGTCCCCCACGCGCGGGCAGGTCACCCGGCCCCAGCAGGAGCGAGGTGCCCCCACGCGCAGCCCCGGACCCAATCCCGAGCCTACGACGCGCAGGGAGGGAAGCAGACACAGGAGGCCACACGGGGTGTGAGCCCATGCATGTGACACACCCAGACCAGGCTCCTCCACGGACGGGATGGGAAGGGGGCTTGTGGGGGCTGGGGGCAACAAGTGGCTGCCAAGGGGGACGAGTTTTCATTTTGGGGAGGTGGAATGTTCAGGAACTCGATAGAGGTGAGAGCCGCTTAACATCATAAATGTACCAAACACAACTGAGTTGTGTGCCCACAACTGCTGCTCAGCGGGACGCCTGCTTCTCCCTCTGCCCCTCCCCCTGCTTCTGCCCGTGCTCTCTCTCTCTCTCTCTGTCAAATATTAAATAAAAATTTTAAAAAAAGAAAAACAAGCTTGGAATGAGGTCAGAAGAGGCCGACAAGGCAGACACACCCGCTGAGAGTCCCTGCTGCTGGTCTGCAGCTCCACGGGAGTGACCCACGGAGCCCAGGGCCCCAGAGCCCAGAAACATACTTGTCACCTGCCAGCTTACCCCAGGCGGCAGACTGACGGCGGAGGCCCCGCGGCAGGTCTCGTCCTGCCCACGCGGCCCTGGAAGACACTTTAATTTGCGGTCGGATCAGAGACGAGCCACAAACATTTCGGATTTTTGTCTTTTTACAACCACGGCCCTGCCGTCTGTGAGTGGTAACCACGCGCCAGGAGCGGATTGCGGGCCGCTCCCCTGGGTGCTGGCACGTCATTCTGGCTCCCTACGGTCCTGTCCACCGCCGGCCGGGCGCCCGCCGCGGTCTCCGGCTGCGATTCCCGTGCAGGGCGAGCTGGAATCGTACTTACCGCACGGGCAGGGCGCCCGCGGCGGGCGGGCTGGGGATGTTCATACCCGCTCCTTACAGCACCTCTAGGAGGCAGGGAGGAGCCCACTGCGCAGAGGAGGAAACTGAGGCTGGCCTCTGACCTCCACCCTCCCCCACCCCTCCCCGGGGGAGGGGAGGAGTTACAACCGGGGGCGGAGCCGGAGCCAGTCGTTGCTCTCTACCGCCCCCTGGTGCTCGTTCGGCGCACGTGCACCGACCCCAGTGGGGACATCAGGGAAAAATCCACCAGCCTGGGAGCCTGGGCCTCTGGACCGCCTGTCCTGCCCCCGTCTCCCCCTGCCGGAGGGAAGCTGCACAGTTCTGCAGCCCGGGCTGTCAGGATGTGATGCAGCCACCCCACCCTGGACAGGTCCACCGTAAATCACATGTCGGCCACAACCTAGCAGAATGTGGCCCGGTGACAGCGGAAAGGTCAAGGTGGGGAAAGCATCTAGCTGCTTGGTGCAGACGGGGAAACTGAGGCCCCAGGGAGGCGGAGCGGGTGTCTGAGAGAGCCTGGAAGCACACTCCCGCTCTGCCACTTTTCAGGGTGACGCGTGTGGGTGGCACCCTTCCCGCTGAGCCGGTTTTCCGCATCTGTAAAATGGGAACGGAACTAGCCCTTCCTTTCCACTCAACTAACAAAGGCATGTTGAGTGTCGGGGCTCCGGGCTACATCCCCAACCCGAGCAGAGCGAGGACAGACCCCCCGGCCAGGCTGCAGGAACAGTGAGTCGATGGACCACCCAGGGGCTGCTGTCAAGACGCCTGGTGGATGGACATCCCCCATCCTGGGATGCCAAGGGAAAGACACTACACTCAACAAGGCGGGTCTCCTGCCACCGACAGACGTCCAGGTCTCCCCGATAAAGAAGCAGCTTTGTCTTCACTACCACGGGCGACCCCAGACTGCCCTGGGCATTTCAGACACGCCGGTCCCCGCAGGCTGTGAGCCGCTGCCTTGGAGTAAGTCGCGAAATGGAAAATATACCTCCTCGGGGCGCCGGGGCGGCTCAGTTGGTGAAGCGTCCGGATCTTGATTTTGACTCAGGTCATGATCTTGGGGGCCCTGAGATGGAGCCCCGCAGGGGCCTCAGTGCTCAGCGGGGAGTCTCTCTCTCCCTCTGCCCTTGCCCTGCTCCCTCTTTCAAAATAAAGATAGAGATACATACTCATGTACAAAATAATATAGGAAACATATAATATATTCTATATATTATATATAAAATATACATGTAATTATATATATGATTATATGTAATTGCACATAATTGTACGTGTAACATAAAAATATAATAATAGTATATGTTAACAAAGAATGGTAAATTAACAAATGCAGTAACACAAATATAAATAATTTCTGTTTTTTTAAGATGTTTAACTTATGGATTTGACAGAGAGAGTGCGCACAAGTAGGCAGAGAGGCAGGCAGAGGCAGAGGGAGAAGTAGGCTCCCCGCCCAGCAGGGAGCCCGATGCGGGCCTCCATCCCAGGACCCTGGGATCACGACCTGAGCCGAAGGCAGAGGCTTCACTGAGCCACCGAGGTGCCCCAAGTAGTTTCTATATAAATATATAATTATATAATATGACATGTTATGTAATTATTGTATAACTTTTAACATAAATATGATGAGTAATATATATCATATATGTAGAAAATGGAAAACTATTGGTTCTGCTTCTTTGCAGGGACGCTGACTGATACTGGAGGAGAGAAAGATAACAATGGAGTAAACCAATAGATGAAGGAAGCCGAGGGTGATATTCGCCACAAATAAGCCAGAAGAATTGGGAGAAGAGGAGGTGCAGTGGTGGGCAGTCAGGGAAGGCATCTTTGAGGAGGCGACTTTTGAACGTATCCCTGAAAGCAGGAGGCTGGCAGCGTGGGAAGCCCGGGGCAAGGACACTTCATTTGGGCAGAG